TACCTTTCATCGCCACCCTCACAGCGCGCATGCGCTGCTTCTTGTGTTTTCTCGATGCTTGCTGCTGCTGCTGCTGCCGCCGCCGCTGGAAAGAGGGTTCGCGACGAGACGCACGTGGCCAGGGCGTCCTTGCATGCAAGCAAGTCCCGCAGACTTCGCTTCAACGCACCAACACTGGGGCTGCCGCTGTGCCGGCCGTGCGCGCTGCTGTGCAGCGTGGCCCGTTCAAAGTGCACCTGCAGCACAAGCCCGGCCGTTTCGTCCGGGTACATGGCGTAGTACGACAGCGCCTTGTTGAGGTGGCTCTCTGCCACCTTGCTCGCCTTGCTGGCAGCAGTGCGTGCTGCCGCCGCCGCCCACCGCCGGTGCACGAGACCAAGGCGATGATGCGCCTCCCCGAGCTTCAGCGACACAGCGCGACGCATTGCACTGATCCAGGCCGCGTTGTCGTGCCGGCCGGCGGTGGCGGACGCGGACGTGAGGTTGCGGCTGATGTCTGCAAAGATGGCGATGGCGCTGTTGAGGTACGAGTCCACGTGCGTATCGTCGCGAAGGCCGGGGGCAGCACTCGCCAGCAGCGCCGCAACCCCAAGATGCGTGCCGCCCAGCTCAAGCTGGATCCGGTCCCACAACTGCGGGTGCACGGCGCGGCGCGCAAGGCAGTCCTTCGCCTGCTGGTAGTACTGGATGGCGTGCATGTGCAGATTGCGGTCAGCGGTTGACGCGACAGCATGGGGACTGGCACCTGCCGTGCCCATGGTGGTGGTGGTGGTGTTGGTGGTGGTTGCTGCTTGTGGCATATTGGCATCCGACTGGCTGCGTTGGCTTTCTTGCTGCTGCTGCTGTTGTGGCTGCGGCTGTTGTTGATGCTGTTGCTGTTGTTGTGGCTGCGGCTGTTGTTGATGCTGTTGCTGTGTGGGTTGTGCCTGCCTGCTGCCGTGTGCGTGGTGCAGGGTCTGGCTGGCCAACTCTCGCCGCAGTTCCCCCAGCAGTGTCGTGCGCCACGGCCCGCTCCCAGATGCAGCCGCCTCCAGCCGTTGCCGTTGCCGCTGCCCGCTATCACCACCACCACCACCACCACCACCATCACCATCACCACCACCACCACCACCACTACCATCATCACCATCACCACCATCGCCATCGTCGTCGTTGGTGCTGGCTTTCGTGTCCGTGTGGGCGTCGGGTTGTTCTGATGCTGATGGCCGTGCTGACTTGTCCTTACTTGCATCGTGCACTGCGCCACTGCCACCACCATCGCCACCACCACCGCCACGACGCCGCGCACGCTGTGCTGCGCGCGTAGCTGATGCGC